TAAGCCTTAAACAAATATGCGATCGCACTATGGCATGATCTGGATCTAAACATGTGCCTCACAACGAGCGACAGTCCTCTATCGAACCCCTCCATTGCTGGGGACAGACACTGCCACAGAACCTCACGATCCACTGAGTCGAATGCCGCTTTTAGATCCAGGAACACGGACGACTAAATGTGTGTCTGTGTTAGTTATTAGTAATAATAATAATAATAATAATCACCACAATCACTTACTAGTTTATCTTGTGTACTACGTGTTGCATACAACAACACCCCATTAGCTGCTTCTTCTAAATTTAATTTACTATAAATAGTTAATAATGAAGATAAAGTTGATGGACTAGGACATGAACGTTTTTCAGATTCCATTAAAAATTCTTGTTCTTTATAATATAATGCTTTAGCGTAAGCACGATTTTTTAATGCTCTATCAGCTAGTACACCTAATGGTAATGGTAGGTGGACACGATGTGATGAATTGGAATACTGGAAGAAAATGAAGAGAGAAAAAGAAATATATAAAATGAGATTTTACTGGAAGGAAATTAAAAGAATATTTTATTCGAAATCATTAATCAACCAATCATTGTTAAACCACCATCAGAAAGCTGGAAGCACTGGACGGCCTTTTCGTCCTAGTTTGGGACTCCTCAGCAGTGCACATCCACGACTCCTGCTCCTCGCAGGACTCGAACCCGGGACCTTCGACATTGTAGGCGAACGCTTTACCATCGGACCACTGATTAATGATTTCAAATGTGTAAAAACGCAAACCTCCAAAACTGTGCCCCAGGATATTTTATTGTTGAAAGTATTTTTGAAATCATGTCAATCAGTCAATCCATCAGCTACAACCTAGAATTTTATACATACAAACATATGTCCATTCAAGTTACCATACCAATATATTAGCGTAGAGAAATTGAATTGTCAATTTAAATCCAATGATGGTAAAGGTAGTGTAGTGCTATGGTGCGAGCTACTTATAAGTAGTAGTATATGACGTGAGTGTCAGTCAACGTAATGTCTGGCACCAGAAGATGGAGGAAGATCAAGAAAGGAAGAAGAGTTATAACACAATGGAATTTGTATGAAACGCATGAATAGTGAGTGACAATGGATTGATGCTGTTTGCAACAGGAACAGTCCAGTTTTTGATATGATGAACTGATATTTTGCAAATGAACAATTTACGACATGGTTTTCCGATTTTACTGAGTCAGTCAGTCAGTTGCAACGTAGAACTTCGTACGTAGGTGTCGACTACGTGGTTGGGGTCCACGATATGGTAGTAATCGATGGTTAGGGACCTTGAATGACATGGCTCAAAATCGTTCGCAATGGTGCCGGTGCATTTATTCTCTGTGTTCTCTCAAATCCTAATCTTCTGGATTTTACTGAGTAACTCTGTAATTTTCGTTAAATATAATTTGGTTGCCCTCACCTGTGTTCTCCTTCATTACAGTAGTAGAAGTATTAGCAGTAATCAGAGAGAGATTAGGGTTCCAAAAAAACTATTCAAGAAGTGCAATTCACAGGAATAAAAATTTAGGAAGAAAAAGAAAAAGTTGATAGGGAATTCCGATGATTAGAATTTGAGAGAAGCCAAAAAATGGATGCATCGACGGCACTGTAAACGATTTTGAGCCATTTCATTCAAAGTCTCTAACCATCGATTACAATCATCTCGCGGACTCTAACCAGGTAGCCTACACCTATCAATACGGCTTAGTCCATCTGTCAATGACATTATGGATTTATGCCATGTTTTGGTTTGGCCGACTCTAGCATTTTTCCCGACCTACTGTTATATTATAAAACATGGCTCGTCGGGGCATAGGCACATAAAATTTTTTTTTAGTTTAGCAACATTGCCTTAACACAATATGCTACAAGTATTTAATAGGAAAAATGCTAAAAATGGGAAATGGACATTGGTTCTACTTGATACTAATTTACATAAACTGTTAATTTGAACATACAAGCTTTCAGTGCAAGTTACTCAGTGAGTATTAAAAAAGGCGAGCAGACTAAAACATGATACAATTCGATGAAGTTACTTCACTGACAACTGGACTGAGTCATGTTGGTAGCTGCAGAATACGTGATTCACGTACACGAGATGACAGTAACCGATGGTTGGAGACTTTGAATGACATGGCTTAAAATCGCTTGCAATGGCGCAGGTGTAGTCACTCTTTGTGATCTCTCAAATTCTAATCTTCTGAATTTCTCATCACTCTCATCTTCCTCCTGTTAAGTGTGTATTTTCACTAGGTTCTACTTCTTGAATAATATTTTCGAACCCTAATCTTCTCTATTATCGCTAATACTTCTAATATCTCTACCACTATGGGATATGAATTGACAATTACATCTCTGTGTGTTTATATGGTACGGCAACTTGAACTAATTTACGCACGTACATACGAAGTTCTACGTTGTAGCTGACTGACTGACTAACTTAAGAAAACACAGACGAATCTCAAAATGAATTTACAATCACATTAAAACCTCACAGGAACACCTTCAAAAAAATTGACAATTGATCTAGAACAACAGTCAGTCAGTCAGATGCAACGTAGAACTTCGTACGTAAGTACATCAGTTCATGTTGCCATACCACATCAGCACAGAGAGATGTAATTGTCAATTCAAATCCAATAGTAGAAGAGGTAGTAAAGGTATTAGAAGTAATCAGAGAGGTTAGGATTAGAAGATATTATTCAAGAAGTATGATTCAGTGAGAAAAGTTTAGAAAGTCAAAAGTAGAGGGGTTGAAGAATCCAGAAGATTAGGATTTGAGAGAACACAAAGAATAAATGCACCGGCGCCATTACAAACGATTTTGAGCCATGTCATTCAGGGTCTCTAATCATCGATTATTGTCATCTCATGGACCCCAACCAGGTAGGTAGTCGACACCTACCAACATGACTCAGTCCACTTGTCAATGACTTCATGGATTTCCTTTAGTCAGCACAAACGGATATCTCACCTACGCCATAAGCGACGCAGGTTGGCAAAAGCCAATCGAGCCTTCTGTATCCGTGCTAAGATTTCGTCAGTCACCAGGCTATCAGCACTGACTGATGAGACTCCCCAGATAGATTTCTAGAACAACACAACCAAATCATTAATCACAATTACTTACTTTATCCATATGAGCCATAAATTCTTCCAAATTCAATATAGTTTGACTAACTTCCGGCGACTGGTCTGGTACACGTAGTACACGTTCCAATGTATTAATCAAATCATCTTGTTGATGATAATTTAATTCAGGCCAACAACTAAGAAATGCTGCATTGAATAATGTACGACCTATACCAGGTGTAATAGCTGTCAACTGACTACAAGCACGTATTGCTGGACTAGGGGATTCACGTAAAAGTGCCATATTCAATGTTTTCAACCATTGAGTCCAATCATCATGACTAACCATACGAGAAGAATGCCATGCACGTTCTAAATTGGTACTGTTGTTAAGAGAAAAAAAAATACAAAAGAAACTGATTTGTATGAGACAGAAAACAAGTCATTACATGAAAAGGAGATTTAATAAACAACTTCTTTTTAGTGGAGAAACAGTAACAAACGTTATTCTAGCCATTGATAGTCAGTCAGCCGATCAGCTACAATGTAGAACTTGGCATGTACATATCTTACTTCACAAGTTGCCATTAGCATATTAGCACAGAGAGATTGAATTGGCAATTCGAATCCCATCATGGTAGAGATTATGAAGAATTCAGAAGATTTATGATTTGAGAGAAGACAAAGAATGAATTCATAAACGTCATTACAAACGATTTTGAGTCATGTCATTCAAAGTCTTTAATCATCGGTTATTATTGTCTCGTGGACTCCGACCAGGTAGTCTACACCTAACAATATTATGGCTTAGTCAAGTTGTCAATGATAGCACAGATTCGTGTCATGTTCCAGTTTGGTTGTCCCCTAGCTTTCTTCCAGCCTACTCTTAAATCAGACAACTGTTACGCCTGCACGTAAACACGTCAACTTGATATACTTGAACTATTACGAGTTTACCTAGTCAGAAAACGAGAGTGAGGATCGAGGATCCGGCGACACGACATGCTACTCAAATCCGATTATCCCAACCCCCATATTTAGTTAAAATAAGAAGACTTGATATGAAGTAGAACCTGTATTCTACAAGCATCCAGAAAGTACGAGGTCCGAGTCCAGAAGAGAATCAGGATCCTGGACTAGGGATCCGGGACTGGGTCCTGGTCCTAGTCATAAAACGTTAGAGATAAACCGCATTTATACATTTCGGTCGAATAGCAAACATCATCGAAGTCTATGACATTGGCGGTTAGAAGACCAACGGGAAGCAACATTTGAAGTGACATTGGTAATCCGGACAACCAATCAGAAACAACATTGGAGTACATGACACTGATATCTAGGACAACGATAAAACTGACCAGTAGGAATTAACCAATAGGCAATGACCAACAGTTCTCTTAAAATATTGGATGAGTATCCTAACAACAACACCGTCAGGTGAGGTAGTAGATGGTTAAGCATATACAGTACATGTCCCAACTACTTTAACTGATGAAGACTCACTACTTCATCCATTGAACTGTCATTCTTACCTAGAACCTTTTTACTAAACACTGGGATTTCTGACTAGGTGGTCTCCGGATTTACGAACAATGCTTCGAAGGCATCTACGATCAAATACTAGTAACATATGAATATCCTCCCTATACTTTCTGCCGATATTTCACACCTGTATATTAGAAAGGATCATTATTAACCGAACATCATTCTAGGTAACTATGTAAATTGACAGGCTAACTGAAGGTGTAATGTTAGCTGATGTCGGAGTAAGTTTGGAAGAATGATAAGGGTGATCAAACCAAACTATGGGATCAGTCCAAGTCTAAGCTATCTGACGTAGGTTACTTAGATGAAGTCCATGTGATGACCGCAATCAGTGGTCGGATGCTGGGTGACATGAAAATCAATCAAGTTAGGAGGCATTAGATCTCAACAGGCAGTAAGTAGGTTGGAAAAAAGCTAACGGAGTTCAATCCAGTACGTGGCACCACAATCTATAAAGTCAGTGAAACTGAACTAAATCATGTTAACAGAAGACTACCTGATAAGAGTCTGTGTGATAATCGTGCTTGATAGTTGGAAACTTTGAATAACAAGGTTCAGATTCGATCTCTAATGGTGCAAATGAATGCACTCCTTATCTTAACACAAACCTTAGTTTCGAATTCGCCCTACAACGTTTTTCTCTCTTCTCAAGATGTTATCGTTTTTTTTCTACTATTGGCACTGCTCTCACTTCTACCACTGCGGTATATGACTTGAAATAGTTTTATCTTGCTATGCTGATGTGGTATGTCAACTTGAAATCAGTGCATAGGTGCCAGGTACTAGTAAGTTGTGCAGGACGATGAAGTTAACTGACAAGAATTCATTCAACTCTCTATTGCTGACTGAGTTTTTATGCTCGAAACAATTACAAGTTCACCTTAGTCGATAAACGAGAGTAGATATAAGTGATCCAGTGACACGATAGGCTATTCTAATCCGAGCGTCCTACGGCCCCACTAAGTAGGGGAAGAAGTTTTGACAAAACGTACACAATGTATTCTACAAGCATCCAGAAAATATGAGGTCAACAAGCACACAAATCGAGTTTATTTATACATCATAGAAACGTCCTTGGAAGAGCCACAAAAAGGCATACCAAAATAATCCATCAAGGATTTTCCGGGTGGAAAATGTAATTTCAAGGTCACCCGATCAGCCAATGCTCGAAATCATAAAATCCAAAATTAGGGCCTTTACCAAGTGAGTTCTGGGGATGTAACGTCCCCAACATGAGTAAAACTGAACATTTCTAAATTTTGACTAAATAACGTTCTCAAGTTGAAACTTGTCTGAAAGTAACGAATGTATACTGCTGGAAAAAGAAAATAGTGCTCTTCTTAAACAGTCTTTTTGAATTGGTGTTATCTAGAAGTTAACTTACAATCACTAATATAACACGTTAAGGCTTTTTTCAAATGTTCTGGCATAATCAAGAGTGGGAAAACGCCACTCCATATCTTTGCAAGTGCTCTTACATGGGTCACACGTGTATAGCCATTGTCAAAGAAGTCCTAATCACTGCCTTTCCATAGCGAGAATGTCGTTTACAAAATTCAAATAACGCACGGTGTATAAACCGACAGATGACCCGTCAACCTCCACTGGGGTACATCTCCCGAGTCGTCGCTCACTACTTTGTGGATCATACGTGGAGGTCACATTGGCTGGGTAGTGATCTCCTGAGAAAACCATCTATTTTGATTTTGGCGTCCAGGCAGTTATCCCAGGCCACTCGTGTTAGGATATTCACCAAATATCATAAGAGTATTATTTGTTGAAGTATAATCCTATTGGTCGGTTTCTATTGGTCAAAATTATAGTCGTTTTAACTGTCAAAATCAAATACATCTCTTATTGGTTATCCGGACTGTCAATGTCATTTCGAATGTTCTTTCCCATTGGTCGTCCTAAAATAATGTCAATGTCACAGATTTTGATGCTGTTTCCTATTCGACCTGAATGTATAAATACACACTATCTGTAAGACTCCATGATTCCGGTTCTTCCTGCCTACCTCTCTCTTCTGTACTCGACCCAATAAACAACTCCATCCAAAGGTGTTGCGTTCTGATATATAGGAGATTTGAATTGATATTTGGGTCGCACTGGGATATTTGAATCTGGACGCCGCTAGGACTGAATAGCTATACCTAGCAGCATTATAACAACTCGCAAATTCAATAATTAGCGTGGAGCATTCACATTTAGGTACCAATATTCACATGTTTATATAAAAATACAAAAAACGCTCCCCCAAAAAATCAAAGATATTCATGATAAAAAAAACAAACGAACTTGTTAATTTTCAATAGTTTAACAGTTCCCGGTGTTTCAGAATCATCAATATTAGCTTTTTGTGCACGAGTACGCGTAGAAATACTGGTAAATTTCACAGTGGCACGATCACTAGTTGTCGGTAGGTAAGCACCTTTTTCAACCTAATGAAATAGAGATTTCAGAAGAAAAAAAAAACTTGTCACACATATCAATACTTGTATGACGGCTGTATTTACAACTATTAAAAAATGTATTTGTGTGTGTGTGACAAACTAAAATAAAACTAGCCTAATAGATAGAGATTACTGTTAAGGATGTTAGATCCTGAAAACTAACTCGGAAAAAGTCCTAATTTCTATGTTTTCGCGCCAAAGACGCTCATTTTGCCCACTGGGAAAATCCTTGACTCTCATTTGTTTGATGGATAATTTTAGTATGCTATTTTGTAGCTCTCCCAAGGGCGTTTCTATCATTGCATATATAAGATTGCTTTGTGTGCTCATTCACTTACTTACGCCTGTTACCCCCAATGGAGCATAGGCCGCCCACCAGTTTTCTCCAACCAACTCTGTCTTGGGTTTCCCTTTCCAGTTCTGTTCAATTTTTGTTCATTCTTCTCATATCTTTCTCTATTTCTCAGCGTAATGTGTTCTTTGGCCTTCCTCTTTTCCTTTTGCCTTGAGGGTTCCATGTGGGGGCTTGTCTCGTGACGCCGTTAGGTGCTTTTCGTAGTGTGTGTCCTATCCACTTCCACCGCTTCTTCCTGATTTCCTCCTCCACTGCAATCTGGTTTGTTCTCTCCCACAGTACGTTGTTGCTGATCGTGTCTGGTCAAAATAATTCAAACCATTTTGTGTGTTTGGTAACCTCGTATTTGCGGGGTGCTTGTAGAATACATTCTCCACGTTTTATCAAGACTTCATGCTTTTGTTAGTGGGGCCGGGGACAAAAGGATTAGAATAGTCTATCGTGTCACTGTATCGTTGAACTTCGTTCCGTGTACCGAGTCAAGTGAACTAGTAATAGCATTCAAGCATATCATTTGTAGAGCAAATCACTTAAACAAATTGAATTTGATAATTTCGAGTAATTAATACAGTCATATTGACTGACTCGACTACTCAATAAAAAAAATCATACATTTTAACTATCTGCCATTACAGAGGTTAAAAGTTTAGTCTATCAGTTATGATTTAGCCCTATTTAATTAGTTAACAACCTGAAAACTGAAAATTATGTGTAGCTTTCAATTCACATATAGTGTACAACCAAGCCATTGTCAAAATAAGTGGGATAGACAGGTGTAGACAGGTGTTCCGATCAATATTCAATTAGTTGTTAGTTGACAAACTAACAAGTTTAGTTAATGATATTTTTCCACAGAAATTGTGAACGATCATTGTTAGACCACCATTAGAAACCTGCGACCATTGGATGGACGCTGTCATAGTAAGGCGTTCACCAGCAGTGCTTACCCACGACATCCGAAAGCAGGAATAAAACCCAGGTAAGTCATTTGATCTCCCAAATGGTTCGCCAGACTATCAATCTGTCCCACAACAGCAACGTTGATTCAAGAACAAAGAGTTTGGTATTCGGATGGACCAAGCACTACTATACTCATCAGAGAAGCCGTTTGGCTTCCAGTAAATTATTCTGCCCCATCAAATTGATCTTCATTGTTGAGTGACTCATTAAGTCAGAAACAATATCAATTTTTGTGACAGGAACGTACGAGAGTAGTTACGCGTAGAGATGTTGAACATGGCATGGTCTACATATAGTCGTCACTTCTCAACAACTCATGAATTTCCAGCCTGAATGAACTGAATGTGTGTCAGATAAGAGTTTGCGGATACCAACAAGGTTTTCACCAGTTTTCACTCAAAAGAAAGTTGAGCGAATTTCGCATCGAAAC